CTACCCAGGGGGATAGCTTGAGGCTCCGTCTCAAAAAAAAAAAAAAAAAAGGAAGAGTCTCTTTTCCTAGCAGGATTCTGTTTCTTAGGAACTTTACAACTTAGTTGTAATGACTTAAATGCTAGTGTTTAGTTGGTATATAGTTACTATTTGTTGAATGAATGACTGAATGAATGGAAAAGATAGGTGTGACAGTTTCTTCTGAACCTTTTGGTTTTTGTGATTGAGCCTGGAGCTTCCGAGGGGTATAGTCTAAGCCCTGGGCTTCTGGCTGACCAAGCCCTCCTTTAACTATCTTAATTATTTGTAGGGCACTTGGGATATGACAGAGGCGACTTAGAACTTGGAGTTTGGCTCACTCCTGTAGCTCAGTGGCTAGGGCACCAGTCACATACATGGGAGCCGGCAGGTTCAAATCCAGCTGAGGCCTGCCAAACAACGACAAATACAACCAAAAAATAGCCAGGCCTTGTGGTGGGTGCCTGTAGTCCCAGCTACTTGGGAGGCTGAGGCAAGAGAATCGCTTAAGCCCAAGAATTTGAGCTTGCTGTGAGGTGTTATGCCACGACACTCTACCCAGGGTGACAGCTTGAGACTCTGTCTCAAAAAAAAAAAAAAAAAAGAACTTGGAGTTTATTAAGACATTTAGAGTCCTCTAAACACTGAGGATTCCAAGGGCTGAGATACTAGTTAATGGAACTTAGAATTTGTGAATTTAAAGTAAAAATAGAAAATGTAAGAGTTGTAAGCTGGTACTCTTAAATGAGGCACACCAAGTTATCCATATAATACTGACTGTTAACGTGGACACTGAATGGTTTAATCAGGAATCCAAGCATACCTACCTATGGAATATATAAAATTAACATTGCTGTGAGAACTATAAATTACATTTCCTGACAATTGGGGAAACCTAGGTCACAAAGTTTTTTTTTTTTTTTTTTTAACAATTTAAAAGTATATAATTTAGTGTTTTTTAAAATATATTCCCAGGATTGTGTAACCATCACCACAATCTTATTTTATTTTAATTTTTTGGAGATAGAGTCTCACTCAGTCGGCCTGGGGTTGAATGCCATGGCATCACAGCCCACAGTACCTTCCAACTCTTGGGCTTAAGTGATTTTGCCTCAGCCTCCCAAGTAGCTGGGACTACAGGTGACCGCCACAATGCTCAGCTATGTTTTTCAGAGATGGGGGTCTCACTCTTGCTCAGGCTAGTCTCGAACTCCTGAGCTCAAGTAATCCACCTGCCTCAGCCTCCCAGAGTGCTGGCATTATAGGTATGAGCCACTACGCTCATCCTTACAGTCTAATTTTAAAGCATTTTTATTTTCCCCAAAGAAATTCCATACTCATTAGCAATTACTCCCCATATCTCCCTCTCACCCCTCTTCCCCAATCCTTGACAACTGCTGATCTATTTTCTGTCTCTGTATATTTGTCTATTTTGGACATTTTGTGTAAAAGAAATCATATAATATGTGACCTTTTGTGACTAACTTATTTAACATGTTTTCAAGATTCATCCATCTAATGCCATGTATCAGTAATTCGTTCTTTTTTGCTGATTAATCTTTTATTGTATGTATATAGCAAATCGTTATTCATCAGTTGGTAGACATTTGGGATTTTTGCTTTTTTGTTTTTTTTTTGATATAGTCTTAAGCGTTGCCCTGGGTAGAGTGCGTGGTATCGTAGCTCACAGAAACCTCCAACGTGGGCTTAAGCAATCCTTTTGCCTCGGTTTTTCTATTTTTAGTAGAGATGGGGTCTTGCTTTTGCTCAGGCTGGTCTTGAAGTTGTGAGCTCAAGCAGTCCACTGCCTCAGCCTCCCAGAGTGCTAGGATTACACTCTGGTCCTCTTTTTTTTTTGTTTTTTTGAGACAGGGTCTTACACTGTTGCCTGGGCTAGAGTGCAATGGCCTCATTATATCTTGCTCAACTAGTCTTTCTGCATCAGCCTCCTGTGTAGGTTGACCAATTTTTATTTTTTATTTTTATTTTTATTTTTTTTTGAGGCAGAACCTCAAGCTATTCCCCTGGGTATAGTGCCGTGGCATCACAGCTCACAGCAACCTCCAACTCTTGGGCTCAAACGAGTCTCCTGCCTCTGCCTACCAAGAAGCTGGGACCACAGGTGCCTGCCACAACGCCTGGCTATTTTTTGGTTGCAGCCATCATTGTTGTTTGGTGGGCCCAGGCTGGATTTGAACCTGCCACCTTAGGTGTATGTGGCTGGTGCCTTAGCCACTTCAGCCATAGGTGCTGAGCCTGTTTTTTATTTTTTTGTGGAGATAGGGTCTCACTATCTTGCTCAGACTGGTCTGCAACTCCTGGCTTCAAAAACATATATGTTGTTGAGATGTGATTTTTCTAATGAGCTAGAGTAATCTTGTCCAGCAGAAGTTTTTGTGATAACAGAAAATTTCTGTGTATCTTCGCTGACCAGTATGGTAGCCATTAACTACATGTGGCTATTAAACGCTTAATATGTGATTAGTGCAACTGAGGAACTGAAGTTTTAATTTAACTATTGATGTAAATTTTAATTTAAATAAAACAGTTTAATAGTTATCGAGCTGGGCACAGTGGCTCATGCTTATAATCCTAGCACTCTCGGAGGCCGAGGCAGGTGGTTTGCTTGAGCTCAGAAGTTCAAGACTAGGCTGAGCAAGAACAAGACCCCATCTCTATAACAAATGAAATAACTGAGGGAAGAGGATCGCTTGAGCTCAGGAGTTTGAGGTTGCTGTGAGCTATGACAGCACAGCACTCTACCAAAGGTGACAAAGTGACTGTCTCAAAACAAAATAGGTATTGAGACTTAAGGTCTTAAATTTTGGGGTTTTTGTATCCTATATCTTCCACTTCGAATGGAGTGGTCTGATTCTGGCCTATCTGGTTTATCCTTTCTCCCCGTAAAGATACTCAAGGGAAAGGTATCAGAGGTGCCTAATCGACTGTTCACCTACAAGTAGTTATAGTTCCCTTTCCCATTGATAAGGGGAATGGGTAACTCAAGCCGTGTGTGTGTATGTGTGTGTGTGTGTGTGTGTGTATTTTGGGGATGGGGGATATTTTTTTACCAGAAAGCTGAAGATAGAAGTTCTGTTTTTTATATGTGCACATGTTTACAGAAAGAAAGGGTATCTGTGTCTATTCTCAGATTTACCTCAGTTTTTTCCTTTGTTACAGACGCTGCATTCAGGTGGTACATAAACTGCTTTGCTACCAGAAGAAGTGTCGAGTACGCCTGCATTACACCTGGAGGGAACTCTGGTCAGGTAGCATTCTCTTCTGAATTTATCCTCTTTTTTTATACCTTTTACGAGCCTCTAGGCCTAGGCTCAAGATGGATTTTTAAAAGACAGTTTAGGATGCCTCTATTTTCATTCATATTTTTTATAATTTGTTTTTAACATGTTAGCCTTTTTTTAATCTGGACCTGAGCATGTCACATATCTAGTTTATACTTTTTTCCTGTTCCTTCTCCTTCTTTTATATATATATATATATATATATATATTTTTTTTTTTTTTTTTTTTTATGGATATATGTTAGTTTATTCAACCCCTTTCTGATGGGTATGCTCTTCTTATATTTTTTGTCAGCTAGTAGAAACAGTCAAATTTTTTGAGTTCCAGTGATTTTTCCTTTGAGTAAAGAGTGAGGCAGAAGGAATCAGTTGAAACTTGGATTCTCACTCGGTTCCATTTGGTAGCAGCATATGGACAGTAGGGAGGTTTCTGTGTGTTCCCTCAAAATGAGTAATATCAGGAGGAATATCATAGGGAGAGGCGGGTGGGAGTGGTGAGATGGGGGGGAATCCTGTTCTTTGTGTTACATCTGGCATTATTACTGTTTATAGACAGTGTGAATTGTGCCACTCCCCCTGTGCCAGAGACAAAACAGCAAATTACAGTGTTTACTTTAGTCTTTGTATCCATTTGGTAGCAGTAAAGTAGCTGCCTCCCCTGGGGAGGTGGCTCTTCTCTAAGGATACAATTAATTCTGGCTTGCCACCCTTTTCTTTTGTGTGACTAAATTTGAGGTTTCAGGAAAGCAGAGGAGACATGTTTTCTGAGGCAGTCACTTGCTGATAGGCCCAGTGGCTTTTGTGATCTGATGGTGCATTTAAGTCTTCTCCAGATGATTATAGTGATGAGTGGTTACCCACACATGGAAGAGCTTTTCTGTATTTTCAGCAGAGTAGGGCGTGTTTATATCAGAGGCTTTATAAGAAACAGGTCAGTAACCCAGCCCCCTTCCATAGAATTAATCTTACTTGTTGTGACACATGGTTTCCTCCCAACCCAGTTTGGCTTTCTAAATTTAGTCCTCCATAATGGGAAGTAGAGATCTTTAATTAATGGATTAACAAATTCTTTACTTACTGCCTATGATGGTAAAGAAGGAATAGGAGAATAACGCTAAGTGGCAATAGGGAGATTTTTGTATTTTAGGAGAGAAGGATGATTGTGTGGCAATTTGAGATTGAAGAATGTCAGAAGAGTTAGAGATCAAAAGAGATTGAAAGGACTAATATTAGTAGAATTTCTTAGGTAGCAACAACCTTTTTCTTTTGAGACAGTCTCACTTTGCTATCCTTTGTAGAGAGCCGTGGCGTCTTAGCTCACAGTAACCTCGAACTCTTTGGTTCAAGTGATCCTAGCTGGGACTACAGGCACCACAACGCCTGGCTATATCTTTAGAGACAGGGTCTTGCTCTGGCTCAGGCTGATATCAAACCTATGAGCTCAGGCAATCCACCTGCAGCCTCTCAAGTGCTGGGATTATACACATGAGCCACTGTGTCTGGCCCACAACCACTGTTTTTTAATTTTTTTGTAGAGACAGAGTCTTTATCGTTCTTGGTAGAGGGCTGTGGTGTCACACTGCTCACAGCAACCTCCAACTCCTGGGCTTAGGCAATTCTCTTGCCTCAGCCTCCTGAGTAGCTGGGACTACAGGCGCCTGCCACAACACCCGGCTATTTTTTGTTGCAGATCGGCCGGGGTGGGGTTTGAACCCACCACCCTCGGTATATGGGGCCAGCGCCCTACCCACCGAACCACAGGAGCCACCCACTACTGTTGTTTCTTATAGATAGTTAAATGATTGTTAGGCTCTAAAAGCCTAGGTTTGAAGGGGAAACAAAAATGATGTAAATTGGGGTGGTGCCTGTGGCTCAGTGAGTAGGACGCCAGCCCCATATAGGGAGGGAGGAGAGTTCTAACCTGCCTCAGCCAAAACTGCAACAACAACAAAAAAATAGCTAGGCATTGTGGTGGGCTCACAGCTACTTGGGAGGCTGAGACAAGAGAATCGCCTAAGCCCAAGAGGTGGAGGTTGCTGTGAGCTGTGGGTGTTGAAGTGAGACTCTGTTTCAAAAAAAAAAAAAAGATGCAAATCTGTGGATATTGGTACGAGTGTAGAACTTATAACAAGTCCAAATGGGTTTATGTCTGTAATTTGGGTGAAGTTACACTTTATAGTACTAATCAGTTGGTGGTAGTAGTTGTTCTTCTGGTTTTATTTTCTCTTTCATTCTGTTTTCTTTACTTTGTCTTAGCTGTCTTCTCTCTGGCCCCTGTGATCTCCCTGGCTTTCTCTCATTCTTGTTATCTGTCGTCTGCTTTCTCTTTGTCCTGTCCCATTACCTTCTTCACAGTGCCATCCATGTTCATCCTGGTCTGTCTCCTGTGGGCTTCCCATTACTTTCCTGCCCCTATCTTATATCCCTGTCTTCTTGATGAATTGACCCTTTTATCATTGTGAACTGTCTCTCTTGTCCTTTTGTGATGGTTGTCACACATTTTATTTTTACATATGTCATAAACTCCAGAATGTATCATCATCATTTTTTCTTAAACAGTTATCTTTTAGAGAGATTTTTGTCAATGTTTGTTATAGTTCTGTTTTCTGACTTTTAGTGTTTTGCCATTCAGGCTAGGAAATAGTGAAAAAGGAGATCATTCTTTATCCTGCATTACTCAGTTGACTTTATGTCTTCAAGAACTTTCTGTTATGTTCATCAATTATGTGCTCTCTCAGAACTGATTGTTGCTTCTGAGGCCCTTGATGGATTGATAGGTGATATATCCAAATGTCATTGGTGGGGTCTGGACTACTGCTTGTTCCTAAGTCATAGACATTTTGTACTAGAGTTCTCTGCCGAGTGAGGTCAGCTTCTTTTACTGTATAGACTGGGTGAGCCCACCTGGAACCTTGGTTCCATGTGGCGTATACAGTGAGATGTACAGCAGCAGGTGTTAAGGAAAGCTGCAAAATACAGCGCTACATCTGATGCCATAAGAGCCCATAATAATGTATAATATTGCTTCCAGGGAATACAAGCGTGGCTATGGTGGATACACCCACTCCTTGGCTGGCGCTACTCATATGTTGGAATGCCCATGTTTTCACTCTTTCTTTGCCTTCTAGACTTACGGATTTAAGGGGGGGGAGGTGTGTGAAACATCATGGCAAATATGCTGATGTATACTGTATATATCCTTGCCCATACATGTGCTGCAAATTGTGACTGAATTTTATTTATAAGTAAGACTGGTAATATGTGTGCTCTTACCTAAGACATACAGAAGCCCTTGGGTATCGAGGAAGCAATTGGCTGGGGTCCAGATGCTTTTTGTCATTTGAAATGCAGGCGTTTAGTATCAGTGTACTTCAGTGCTGATTTTTATTCCTGTGCTTATGATTATAGTAGCTCTTTGTTACTGGGGAGGTAGCCAGTGGCTCCCAAATTCTCATAATGAATTCACAGGCATGGTCTTATGGGCAAAGAGGAGCTAGTTGTGTTAGTTGGGGGTTCGTGCTTGCCTGATATGCTTTTCCTACTGTTGGTTTTACAGATATAAGCCCTGACCTACTCCCTGTTTCTACTATCTATTTATATGATGCCTGTCACCATGGTATCTGAGTATGTGGGGAAATATATTTAGGCTAACTTTAACTAGAATATGGAAAGGAAGAAGTCCAACCTCTTTGCACTGCCCTCTTTTCAGCATTCACTGTTTTTCACCAAGTTATAGAAAGGCTGAAAGCTGTTCTATGACCTCTAGGCTACCCAGATCTCTTAGTCTGAGTAGAAGGTTAGGTCTTAAAACTTTCCTCTGATAGAAATAGAATACTGGGGTTTTGGATAAGATCCTAGCAAAAGAGTCCTTTACCTTTGAGAATGAATGAAACTGTGGTTATCTTTGTGTCCAGAAAAATGTCTATTTGCACATATATAATTTCAGGGAGTTCCTAGACCTTCTGAAGCCCGTCATGATCCCATGTGAAAATGCTTATCTTAATTTTATGTTCCACAGACTCCCAATTAATTCTGTTCTCACAGAACATTTTAATATCCAGTTAATTTTTTTTTCTTTATTTATTGGTTAAACAGTATGCCTACTAGCTTACCAGTCTTCTATGAAGTTCTTTATTTTTTTTGAGACAGTCTCACTTTGTCACCCTCCGTGGTGTGTTAGCTCACAGCAACCTCAAACTCTTGGGCTCAAAGTGATTCTCTGGCCTCAGCCTCCCAAGTAGCTGGGACTACAGATGCCTGACACATGCCTGGCTATTTTTCAAGATGAGGTCTCGTTCTAGCTCAGGCTGGTCTCGAACCCATGTGCTCAGGCAATCCACTCATCTTGGCCTCCCAAGTGCTAGGATTATAGGTGTGAGGCACCGCGCCTGGCCTTCCTCTGAAGTTCTTGAGGCTACAGACCATTTTGTTCACTGAATTTTATTTTCTAAAATTTTATTTTTTTTCTGTTTTAGCATATCACACTGTTTTGCTATGTTTGCATAATGATTAGTTTAAATATCCACCTTTCCTCTAAAGAAGTTCTTAGAGGGCAGGGCCTGTGTCATAATCGTTTATAACTAACAGAATAATTGGCTTTTTAATAGGGACTCAAAAAATATTTAAATAAATGGATGAATGAATATGTAGAATTTCCATTAATGATGAACCAACATTCTTCTAAAGCAGCACAATATTGTGTTTAAACCTCATAATAATTATAACAACAACAATAATAATGATAGAAGCCAGTAGGATATTTGTTGTTAACGTTTCTTTTGAGCTGACTTCATCAACTATGATAGGTCCAGCCTTCCAAATTAGTTTTATTTGAGTTGATATGAAAGGGAGTAATGGGTAATTTCACTGTTGTGTCTTTCTTCCTTACTCACAGATATAGGAATTACTTTTAACCAAGTAAAAATGGAAACTTTGATGGTTTCTAAGCCATTAACCAAATAATGAGCA